AAGATGTGCTTATTGTACACCCACTTTACGGACCTCTTAGGAATGGAGTGAGGTCCACGGTAGACACTTTGAGGGTGGAGCTGTGGGGCTTTGAGGCTGTAACAACAGAGTCAGGTAGAGCATTCCAGGCGTTGACCACTCTGTTGCTGAAGTCGTATTTTCTGCAATCGGGTTTGGAGCGGTTTACCTTGAGTTTGTATCGATTGTTTGCCCGTGTATCATTGTGATTGAAGTTGAAGTAGTCATTGACAGGTAGGATGATGTGCAGACAATTTTGTGTACTATGCTTAGATTGGACCACAGCCGGCGCAGTTCTAGGTTGTCCAAGCCCAAAATTTCAAGCCTGGTGGCATAAGGGATTCTGTTGTGAGTAGAGGACTGGAGTACTCTTCTTGTGAAGTACCTCTGGACCTCCTCAATCATATTAATGTCTGATGTACAGTGTGGATTCAAGGCAGATGAGCTTTGTGTGCGAGAGGGGGGGGGGAGATCCCTACAACTAAGGTCAGCAAATGGACCACTGAGACTTTTTTGCTCAGTGAATACTAAGGGACTCATTACTCCATAGGCAAGGAGTATAATGGACAATGAAAACTATTACATTCCATCATGTTACTTTGACACGATATTCAAGTATCTGAAAAGTTTAAGAAAAGATTGCAGTCCACAAGGCAACTCATCCAAATGGAATAAATTAGTCACTTCACTTAAATTAACAGCAGGCATTTCGGCCACCGTGACCAACTGCCTGTTTAATTCCAGTTTAACAAGAAAGCTATTCTTTAAGAAAGAAATCTTTAATAGCCATTGTTCCCTCTCCTCTCCTGAGATGCTCACTAAATTTAGTTTTATTTCACACATGATAATAGTTTCAAATGACTGATTTCCTCGCAGCCAGAGGCCATATTGTACATGATAACTCAGCTGAGAATGTGGATTGCCAATTTCCTACACCCAAAACTGAACCAAATATTGTAATAGGAATACAGTGGATTGATTCCTACTTGTAGCCATAAAACTAAGGCTGGTACTCATGTAGTAAGAGGAAAATGGGAAAAACTCCTTTTATTAAACAAATGTGGATTCCTCTCATTCACATTCAGCGAAGACCTGGTAAACAGTCTTTCAAAGGTGAATTTATGATCACAGACCTTATCTAGCTTGGAAAGCTGCCATGTAAATATTTTCCAAA